GACAATGAAGACTTTTTGGACTATTGATTCTTATCCTTTTGCGGGGACTGAGACACTTCCTTCCAATCAAACCCACCAGCAGCAAGGATATCAAAGCCTTGCTGGACAGAGGGAGGAAAATCTGACAAATCCTGTTGAACTTGGTAAGAATCAGCAAGCTCATTCAAGCTTTGTTCTGAGCAGGCATTCTGACCTGAAAAACTAATAGGAATATTGACCGAACATGTAGCTGAAGATTTTGCAGGCACAATGGGAGCAATGTAATTCTGTTCCTCCTCGAAGTCAGAACCATCTTCCACTATGGCAACAAAATCCCATCTCTTATGCGCTTTATTTCCACCTTTAGATTTGGCTGGCACAAACGTGTCACAAACCACACAGTCCAATCCAGCTTGATCCTTTAAACTCGGTTCCATAGCAGAATTATCAGAATTCGCAAGATCCACAGTAGCTGCTGTCCGTGTATCAGGAGAACAATTCTGACCATAAAAATAAGCCTGATTATTCTCATCCGAAATATCTTCCAAGGATGGCATACCATCCAAAGAAGAATCAATATTCTTCTCCTTCTCTAGAGTGGTCTTGGGGTCTTTCAGAATCCGATCCATCACCTGCATAGCTGAAAAATCACCACCAGAAAATATCATAGATGCACCAGGGACAGCAGCTTTTCTAGCATTAACTTGAACAGTCATCACATGACTGGAGTCATCACCGACTGGATCAATTCCAGCCTGTCCAGCATGTTCCAAGCCTTTTCTTGCACCAGAAGGAAAAACAACAGCCAATTCTGGTGTAATATCTGCAGGTATAGGAGCTATTGCAGCAGAAAAAATTGGTCTAGCCAGGCCTGGAAAACTTGTCTCGATAATAGCTTCAATTGTAGGACCATCAGGGCCTGCAACACAACCAGCCATTCCAGTAGCTTGGTTTGCTCCAGCAGGATCACCAGGACCAACCTTTGAAACAGTAGCCAATTCCAATTCAAAACCTGCAGCAATAGGAGCTGTTTCAGCAATAATTGGCCTATCCAAACCTAATGATCCTGGTGCAATAATATTTTCTGATATAGGAGCAGTGGAGACTGCAACCTGATCAGCCATCCCAACAGCATGGATTGTACCAGCAGGAGCACCATGATCAACCTTTGGATCGAAAACAGCTGAATCAACGCCTAGAACAGCAGCAACATCCAAGATTGTATCTGCATCAGGGAGTAGATCACCCTGACCAGGTTTAGAACCGGAATTCTTGACATCCCTGCGCCACGTTCCTTAAAATTTATTTTGATCCCCTTATCTCCATTATTCTGAGATTTTCTACAAAATTTATTCTGGCATATTTTCAAAATTTAAAAAAACAAGAAAGGCAAAACCTTCCCTCTCAACCAGAGTTTGCTTAGGAATGTAGTCTTCAAGATTGATTTCAACAAGCATTCTTGCAAAATGACCGTATAACAGATTTAGCGTAGCAGATTGGCACACCAATTCCAGAGGCAATTGTAAACAAAATATTAGGGGACCAATATTCAAGAGACAGATCAAGAATACCAAACCCAAGCCATTGTGTTTCTTTGGAGTCTTGGATTAAAATCTGGTTTCCAAATGGATTCAAGGTCCAAGAAGCTGTAGCAAGAATTTTCCTTAAGTCATGATTATTCTGAAAGGCAAATTCGCCTCTGCCTAAGGGAATGACTTTCCAATCTTGAATCATATTCCACAGCTGAGAAAGGTTGGCTCTCAAATCTGCAATCTTGAATGGCATTTGTCCTTTAGAAAGAATAACTCTAACTCTACCATCCATCAAGATATGATGGTTCCAGGATCTTTATGGCAAGAATGTCTCCCTTCCAACATGGCCATGGGCAAGAATAATTACCCGCCATGTCTCAAACAAGAAACCTCCACAGAAATCTTTTAGGAAGATCAGGTTCGAGTATTAAACTCTTTTTCCACCCTGACCTGAGTGTCTCAAACAACAACCCATCCAACTGTTGCAACGCCAGAATTCTTCCCACCACTATGAAATGCTAACTGTCCATTCATCACTATGCAATACAACAAGACTTTGTCTTGTTATGATGACGGTCTACATTCCCATGCCATTAATGATATAACATTTCAAAATTATACGTGATTCCCTTTATTTATGTTAATAATAATAATTAAAAATTGAGTCATTAATAATAAATAGTATAAATGTTGTTTATATTTTATAAGTTTAGAATCTTTGGGTATTAAACATAACAGTAATAATATTATTCATATTTTCAAATAAAACTTATATATTATTCAATAAAAAAATTTAATTAATGAAGTAATTCATCTTTTAAAAAATAAATATATTTCACTCTAAAATGTGTTGTTTAAATAAATTATTTTAAAAGAATTTTAAATTCTGTCATCATTAAAAATAAAATTTGAAATTCTTAAAAAAAAAATTTAATTTCTCTTTCATCTATGAACACTCGTGCACCTCGGTGCACGCATGACTCTCAGCACTATCGACCGGCTCTCTCACACTTGGAGATGGCAAAAATACCCGCACTTGCGGGTATTTGCGGGTAAAATCCGCTACGGATAATAAATAGATAAGTTAATTGGGTAGCCGCAGATAATGGGGACAGATAATTTTTTACCCGTTTATAAATGGGGCGAGGGCGGATATGATGATATTCATACCCGCGAGTACCCGTTTAATAATATTTCTTAAATATTCTAATTATCCTTGTGCCACATAATCTTAAAATTACATTCTCTCATCTTTGTGATATGAGACTTTCACTTACTTGTGAGATTGATGTATTTTAAGTTAATGATTATCTTGCATTTTTATTATTATTTCAACAAAATTAACGTTAAATACAAATTTAAAATTAACATTGAATTTTTATTTTTAATATTTCAATAACATTAAACATAAAATTGTTTGTAATATAATATTTTTAATTTCTTAAAAAAATTATAAATATCCATGAATATCTATGAGTATTCAAGAAATTCATTGATACCCGCACGGATATGGAGTGGATATGAGGCCAATTTTCATCTAGCAAGACGGGGTTGAATTTACTATTACCCACCCACATGAGATCCCATTGCCATCTCTACTCACACTCGTGGGCTCTTTTACGATTCTCCCTCTCATGCACACTTGCTATCTCGATTACTTTTCATGTTTGATTCACAATTCATGCTCTCTCTACTCAGGTTTATTTTTCTTCTCTTTCAATTTTAGGAGTCAATGAGAATTGAAACATCAATTAGCATTTAGCCATTTTTTATTTTTATTTTAAAAAATTAAGACACCCAAATTGGTTCATTAAGTTATCGATTTTTGCAAAAAAAATCGACTGATTTTATCCGGTTCAACTACTTCCCTGATCAAATTATTAAACTGGTTTGCTGTAATCACTAATTCTTGTTTCGGTTTTACAATACTAATTATAAGTGTATAAACATATAAATGTCTTTAATATATTTTCTGCAACTCATTAATAAATGTAAAAATCGATATATTACATATATGTGCACCCAAAAAAGAACATAGATGAAAAAATTTTGATACGATTTATTATGTTCTTACTCAAGCCAAAAAATTTATAACATCAAATTTATAAACTTAACTTACTTAATTTGTTGTCGTAATATATTAATCTATACATTATATATGTTTAAATTATATAAATTAAATGAATATATACATACAATTAAGATATATTTTACGATGTATATTTTAAGAAAAATGATATTATTTTGTCATATTAGTTAAAATGATTCGAGAAATTATATTATTAATACATAATTGTTTTTAAAAAAATAATAAAAGAATATATAATATTAGGAGAAATTTGGACATGTCAAAGTATAACCCAAATATGTCCTTGGAATACACCGAGTCTAATTTTTTAAACCCAAACACGTCTAGTTTTTTAAATTCAAGGCAGTTTGGTAGGACCGAATGAGTCATGAACACCCTTAGCTCTACTATCCGAGATTGACAGCTACTCCAACTTCAATAGAGTAAAATGTTAATAATTAAAAATGGATCAATCATGTAACAAACATGTTCTTCAAGGAGCTGGTTTTAGAGTCTAAGTCTTTGCAAGCTACACACAACATATGAAAAACTGACCCCACAAACAACCGATTCTTGAATGCAAGTGTAATTGCTGATTTGGATCGCATTCCCTCACTTAGTTGGACAAAGAGGCTGCAGTTTGTAAACTACGAATTAAGAAATGTTAAGGTAGATGTTGTTTACCGCATCATGCGGACATGATATTAATTGAGTTCTGGATCTTCTGAAAATTAAAACTCTTCTAGGTTCCTATGTATTAACCAAATTGGAGATAGAAGAGATAGATAATGAAGAGAGTCCACATTTTCAATTTAATAACTGTTGACTTTTTGTGCCAAAGATATATACATTTAAAAACTAAGCAAATTTTGTACCATAATATATAAGCAGAGATATATAGTGGAAGAACCTACCTAACAAGCATAAAGAAACCAAGAAATGCCTTACGAATTACGATACCAACAACAATAAGCATAAAAAAACTAGCATCTGCTACCTACCCAAGTTCACATTTCCCATTTCACAAGTCACTGTTATGCAATCTAAATGTTGTCATCATAAGTATTCCAGGTGGCAGCGCATCAATAAGCAGTTAGCATCGACCAAGATATTTGAATCCATGAATTAAAGTCAGACAGGTCAAATCTCCACTTTGAAAGAGATAAAAAAGAATAAGAAAGGAAAATAATACATAAAAATTCCTAAATTTCAGAAAAGGGACAAAGCCATAAGCCAACAATGAATCCCACTATGCTTAGCAGACAAGCACAGTGGGATTCTAAAAAGAATAACTAAAGCCTTGTTCTGCAGTTTAATATAAAATCGAAGATAAACATATCTCAAGAGGATGTATATATAAATATATATATATATATATATATATATATATTAAAAAAAAAAAAGAAAAAAAAAGTCAAGTCTACAGATGAAGAGAAGTTGTGCATGTGTTCTGTTTTTTTTAATTCTTAAACAAAAGCTTTTGAACCAAATGCTCTCTTTCAACACTTTATGAGCATTCTTAAACACAAAATAGGTCAATATACATGCAAAACAAACAATTAGTCCAGAACACATGTATTTGCTAGTTTGCAACATACGTGACCAAGATTAACTGCTTCCTATTGGAGGAATATTTCTGTAACACCACCATGAAGGTGCAGTAAACCATGTGTATGTCCAACTGTCTATATCACCATGGAAGCGAAACCGCTCACCCTCCTCATTTCCAAGCCTGAAAATGCCCCAATTGCTTACATTAGTCCTATTGAAGCCAAAACGGGTCAATATACCTTTTAAATGATTAGAATCCCATTCATTCCACCATGGAACAGTTGGATCATTGCAGAAATAAATGCTGTTTCTATTTCCAACTCCAAGTTCCTTTGCAGAGAAAGACGATGAGCAACATTTACCCAAAAATATCATTTGATCCCCCAAATCCTCAACCTTCTTCCAAGACAACTGACAAAAATCCAATGAATATATCTCTAATTTTTGGGTATCAAGCACTGCAGCTTGTTTGGTACTAAAATATCTACAAACAAGCAAAAGCTCCCCACAAGACTCTACTAAATATCTTAAAATTTTATAGTCATGATGATTTCTTTGTAATATTATCCCTTCTTGTAACTGAAATATCTCAGGCCATTTTACTTCATGAATCTGGGTTTGTATCTGGGACAGTGTTCCAAAATCATCATCACCTTTGCCAATGCTCGAGTAGATACTTTTGACATCAATTTGCCAAATATTAAATCCATCAGCCAGGAGATAAAAACTTCCATTACAAAATACAGCATCCTCAAATGGCTCACCTGTTAGTTTAAGTTTATGCCATGAATTTTCTCCTGGAACCCAAAAAGCCAGCTCACAGCACTGGCTGTGTAGAAGCATGCAAATGAAGTTATTCTCAGAGGGAGGCCCTGAGAGCACCATCTTGTGGTAAAAGTTCCATAACGAAGGGAGACTAATTTGGCTTCTTGAAAATGGATTCAGCAAGTTAACTTCAAGATGGAAATTGTCAATATTCTTTACCATAATCAACCAATCATGAAATGATCCCCAACAATAATTTCCATGTGCCTCTGATAACTCCAACTCCCAAACACGATTCTCCAATATACTTATACAAGTTCTAATCTCTTTGTTCTGCTGACCTGAGACCAAGAGCCAAGGAAATCCATGCCTTTTCCAACTAGGAAGTTGTTCTCCAAGAACAGTATTCCAACTCATACAAACTTTGCTGATAGATAAGCAATCGATTAAGGTCAGTTTTTCAGCAACCGTCTCAAGTATACCTTGAGGGAGAGTAGTCCAATCTGCAATTTCCAATTCTTTTTTTCTGCGGTGTATTTTTTTTCTGCATTTGGCACCAAGTCTTCCCCTGAAAGCTTTCAAAGGCAATGAAGGGATACTTGACCAATCTTCATAGTACTTTCTCAAGTATCTTTTTTTATTTCTTCTTTTCATCCTTTTGGCAACAACTTTTTTGATGATAGCTTCCAACAGTAATGAACGCATCCTGCTTGATGTTTATGAGTGAGACATCAAATATACAATGAAAAGATCAATATCAGATTTAGTCAGCCTTAATAATTTTCTTTGGATGGAAGCTTGTACCAGGCTTAATGGGTTTGAAGAAAACACTTGACTTTGGTCAAATTATAACTATTTATTTTTCCATTAGATTAATGATCATGCTAATACATCACTACAAATCCTCACATAACAGTCAGAATGGATACAATGTCATATAAGATATGTAAATAAAATTTTACATTTAGCAAGGATAACATATAAAGATGCAGGAAGCACAATAACAATCAGAAAGTCAATTTATAAAACTCATTCCTTTCCTTTCTCCCACATGATGACTTGTTGCAAAGTATGAAACAAGTCAAAATAATAAAATATGTACGCTCATGGGCACATATTTGTGAGAGAAACCAGTAAAATTGTTAGAATATATGGAAATATCTAAAAATATATTATCATATGCTAGATTATTCTGATTCCTCATCATCTCATAACATTACATGATTGACTACTAGATTTTCTTATCTTACCATGATTTGTTTCCCAAATTAATTAGGATTGTGATTAGCTACATTGCAGGTACAGTACCAGTACAGGGTATGGGATACAAAATATTCCAAATATCTAGGGTACAAGTACGTTATTGCATATTTTTAAATAAATAAAAAAGGTTTAAATATATTTTTGGTCCCTCGAAATTTATATATATATATATATATATATATTATAATTTTAAAATTATTAGATTTTTAATGGGAGGGACTATATAAGAAGAAGAAAAAAATTGATATGAGCATAATCAAGCCAAAAAAAAAAACAAATAAGTATAATATATCTCCAATCACATTAATAAGACTAAAATTCACTTTGTCCTAGAAAAAAGGGACACATTTCGTAAATATCATCCTTTTTTTTTTTGGTTTTAAAACAGCTGAATATAAATAATTTTCAAGGTTCAGAGTTAGGGTGTTAAACTTGTAAAAAACATAAAATTGTACAGAGTACAGACCACAGACCACAGGAAAGGAAAAATCATTAAACAATCTTGGCCAGTGCAATTCATCCATCGTTAATACCATGGTACATTATTTCTAATGTGCCACAAATTGCATATGGAAGAGGGGCTTGAATTTCCTAACTGACATTGGCCGAGGTTTTATTGAAGCCTTGAAAGTTGAAAACCTATTCAACACTTGCATCCTTAGGCTAAGTAACAGAAGTGTATAGTACATATTGCAATTCAGAAACAAAGTAACATGACCCTCATTGTAACAAACCAAAAACTACAAGGATTTGCAAAAAAATCACAATATTATGTTTAGTGATTGACAATACTATGAAACACGTACCGAATTAGGGCATCAAACAGATTATTTATAACCCAGGAGTATTCATTCATATGATTAAAATCCTAATCAAATAATAGTGGCGAAAATCCAAAAACCGTAGTTATCCCTAAAAGAATAAAATTCACAGTGAGAGAGTTGAATGATGATTAACCTGGTACATGCAAGTTCACACTATTTTCCTCTTCACTAGGGAAGTTAGTAAGCACCAAGCAGAACCAGAAAGAAACGTTCCAAATGCTAAGAAGCTGAACCAACAAATATATATTAAAATAAAAATTAAGCTGGCCTAGATATTGAGGGTGGGCTTAGAACAAACGCAGCCCAAGTTGAGGTTGGGCCCAAGGATCCGGATCCTCACACGCAAGTGCCTTCTCAAAGCTTCTCTCCATTAGTATTTTTGGACACGAGGGTGAATTTCACCGTTGAGAAAAATATTTATTTCCCAAGCTCAACTTAAAAGCAAACAGTTATGGTTTCATTTTTATTTTATTTTTTTATTAAATTATACTTTTAATTTTTTTATTTATTTTTATGGTTCAATTTAAGCTCACTATTTTTAAAAACCTTCAATTTAGTCTTTTAATTTTAAAAAAATATTCAATGTTATCTTTTTGTCTAAATTGATGCTACCGACATTAATGAAATTAGAAGAAATGACTAACATTAAATTTTTTTTAATTAAAGGACCAAATTAAAAATTTTAAAAATAATAAGATCAAATTTAATATTTTAAAAATAGTAGGACCAAAATAAAGAAGAATTTATCTAACATTTTTTTGTCTAGATAAATTTAATTTTTTTTACTTATATTAACAAGATCACGAATCATAACAAATTAAGTACTTGGGATTAAAAAAAATGATCACAAAATGAAACAGTTATCTAATAAAAGATGTTATTAAAAAGGTAAAAGGAAATTCAAATTTATCTTAAAAAAATGGATAAATTTTTAATCAATTTAGTCTATCTATTTATGAAAATCTCAATGCCCATTATGTTTAAATGATTCAATTTGGTCATCTAATTTTCAAATAGTACTCAATGTTGTCCTTCAATCTAATTTTATTAACACTTGTTAAATCAAATGGCAAGCATGGATCCCTCAAAATATAAGCATTAATGTTAATAAACTTGAACGTTTTTGTTAAAGAAATATTTGTCAGATCACAAAGAAAGACGAACTAAAATAGACATTTTGGTTACAATGACATGTACCTTTTTAGATTAACCACTTTGTCTATTTAAGATAGATGCACTAAATATATATCATTTATGATATTTGATAATTAAATCATCATTATTTATGTCATTCCTTAATGAATGGATGGAATTAAAAATTCTTTGGTTCTTGAACTTAAAAAAAGAACAAAAATATATTTTTCGTTAGAGAAAAGACAAGTAGATATCTCAAAATGTACAAAATCTCAGATAAAGTCATTTTTGATTGACACACACAATAGTTCTTCCCATTTTATACTTTAAAGGTGATAATTAGTCTTTGTTATTATGACAATTTGATAAAATGCATTTAATGCTCACATTTATTACACCAGACATTTCGCTTTACAAGGAAGGAAAACGAAGCAAGCCTATGAGAAAAGCTCAAGAATTTGCAACGAACATCTTTATAAAGCACCAATGTAAAGAAGCTTGAAGACTCGGAAACAAGAGACAACAACCATTTTGTAAAAATCCATTTCATTCTTTTTGTGAAATCATTCTAGTAAGATGAAACAACAAGTGATTTCCTAACTTTAACTTGTGTTATTTGCTTAAAGCTTGAAGGTGGTTTGTTGTAAGGAATCCTTGGTTATTAAAGCTTGGAAAGGTTTCGTTGTTCAAATAATACTTGTATAGTTGCTTAAAAAGGCAAGTCAAATAATACTTAGATTGAGGTAGAAGTAACTTATGAAAGATTACTTGTATCTTTGTGAGAGATAGTGAAATTTGATTAGGTTGATCAAGAATTGAACATAATCTTGGTAGTTGAGATGAATTAATATAAAAATATTTTGTGTTGTTTACCCTTTACTATTCATTTGCATTCTAAAGATTTTGATACTATTTCACTATTTCAAAAAAGTGTTGAATTTTTTATTAACATTATTCAACCCCTTTCTAGTGTCTTTATTTTCTCCATAATGTCATTAGTGTCAATTTGGACAAAAGGATAATATTGAACATTTTGAAAAAGCTAGAGGACTAAATTAAATTATTTAAAAACAATAGAACCAAAATAAATATTAAAAATAAATAGATAGACAAAAAAATATAATTTAGCCTATTATTTTTTTATAAACATGGTTCATGTTATGTCCCAAAAATTGATCATCAAAAAATAATTTACACTCACAAAACATGATTTTCATTAGTCAAACACTATTTTAACACATACGCAACTGAGAGCACTACATTGACCTCCAAGCCCTAGGATAGGATAGGCCATACAACCACTATCCATAATGCTTGATCTTTTAGTTTGTGACGTGATATTGCAATAAACTATTTTACTATCTTAAACTTGTTATTATAAATGCATATTGAAAATATAATTTTAATATTAAAATATATTATATTTTTTAAAATATTTTAAATTATTGCAATAGAAAATCTTATATTCAACTTTTATATATTAAATATTAATTATTTAATATATGCGAGAGTGTTTTAAGGATTTTTATTTAAATACTTTTTTTAATTGTTATCTAATTTAATTTTTATTTATCATAGTTATTTATGAATTAAATATTAATATTTAAAATAAATCATCAATAAATAAAATTATGCTACAATGTAAATTATTTATCATAAATCTAAAATATAGTTTATGTTTAAAAATATTTATTTATACAAATTTTAAGTATAATTTACATATTCAAAATAATATTTATTTTATATATAATTTAAATTTTAATTATATATATAATAAACATGTCTGTAAATTGCATAGACTAAAATACTAGTTAACATATAATAAAAACCTTTTTATTTCTAGGTAGAGAACCAAATTGAGTAAAATGAGTAGAAATATTATTATTGTTAAAATTATTTTTTAAAATTATGATTACTTAAATTTTATTTAAATTTAAATATCCAAAATCTATATAATCTATACCAATAAATAAAGAGAATATTTTTTCAATTAACTTCTTTTATTTTTCGATTTTACCCTTCAAATATATAATTTATTTCAAATTACTCTTATACAATGGTTTTGATTGATCATCTACATTTTTTGGATCCTAGCTTCTCAGGTAAATATATGAGGAAGAACATTGATCCACCGCATTGTTTTATTCAATTTCCGTTTTGGTATTCAATTTCCTATTTCTCTCTTTCTTGATCTACTTTTAACTTCCTCATTGTTTTATTTTTTTATTTTTGTTTGCGTTTGAAGTTGAACTTTTAAGAGTTCTTAAAGAGTAACTTTGTGTTATTCTCTAAGCCTAAAAAAGTTTGTTTGCAAAATAATAATTGGTTGTTAGAGTCTGAAAAGGCTTAACGGTAAAAAATACTTTGCTATTGAAATCTGGAGAGGCTTTCCATTCAAAGAATACTTAGATAGTTACTTGAAGAGACAAATTAAATAATACTTAGATAGAGTCAAAAGTGACTTGTGAAATAATACTTATATCTCTGAAAAAAAATAGTGAAACTTAATCAGGTTGATCTAGAACTGGACATAATCTCGGTGATTAAGACAAACTAATATAAAAAACTATATGTTTTTTTCTATTACCTCTGTTTGCACTTGTAAGATCTTAATACAAATTCACTGTTTCAAAAGTGTTGAATTTTTTTTTATTAATACTAATCAATTTCCCTTTTAGTGTTTTTTTCTCCACAAGCTCATCATTCTTAGTCATGCATTCGGTAATATGGAAGTAAGCAAATTTCACTAAGTATATCCCGTCCTTACTTAGATTCCATATACATACGTTCTCAACAAGTGTATCAATGATTGGAACGTTTAGGATGGCTTTTATAACACCCTGATTTTCACAGATTATATGAAGGCTCAAAACCCAATAAGGATGATTTAGTAGCCCAGAATGGGCCGTTCCCAAACTGGAACTGGGCATTCCAAACAACAAAAAGGATTGTAACCCTAGTTGGGAACAGATCGTTGTGGTTTAAGAACGGGTCATTTCAAACATGGTCGTTATGAGTTAAACTCAACTCTAGAACGGGCCGTTCTGGTTTAAGAACGGGTCGTTCTATATGCGAATTTAACACATGATGAAAGGATTCAAAAAGGGTCGTTCCGGATCTGAAACGGGTCATTCTGACCACTGCTGACATCTATAAATAGCAGACTCTGGCACTGCTTCTGAAAACACTCTCTGAAGACCAATGAGAACCAAGAGAAGGAGATCAACCAGATTCTGCTCTAGCCTCGTCATCTGCTTATCCAGGTAAGAAGGGAGTGAGAAATAGGGATGGCAACGGGGCGGGTCGGGTACGGGTTTCATGATACCCGTCCTCGTTCCCGCAAGTCAAACTCATCCCCGTACCCGTACCCGTCAGGTATGTGATTTTTATCCTCATCCCTATCCCCGTTGGGTATCGGGTATACTCGTACCCGTACCCGTACCCGTACCCGTTAATTTTTTTATTTTTTTTATTTTTTGTAAAAAAAAATATTTTTAAATTATTTTTTTATTATATTATAATTATAATTAGGTTATTTCTCTATCTCATATTATAATAAATAATCACACATAAAAAAATATTAAAATTCTTTAATATAATTAAATTAAGAGTGGGTATTAAATTAAAAATGGGAACGGGGACGGGTATGGGTACGGGCGGGTAAGTACATACTCATACCCATACCCGTACCCGATTTAATATATCGGGTTTTACACGTATCCGTACCCGGTCAAACTGGTTATTTCCCGTCAAAGTCGGGACGAGTTCGGGTATTACTCGCGGATACGGGTATATTTGCCATCCCTAGTGAGAAATCTCGCTCGGGAGTGTAGGAATAATTGTTAGATAGCAGGATTGACCCCCAATCCCTTGCTTGATGTATGCCTATAGGAACAGACACTTTATGAAAGTTTTCTGTTTTGCTTTCTGATTGTTTTGTTGTGTTCCTTGTTGGATGTGATGTATGAATATGTGATTAATTTTGAAAATAGATAAGTTTTGATATGAATTAAAGTGCTTTGTGTGTTCTTGTGGGAAATCCTATGAAGTAAACTTAGGGGTATGATCTTTGGATGAATTTTGACGC